GCTTGATCCCTGCTCGCCCTTGGAGGAGTCAGCAGGGCTCAGGGGCAGATCAGCCTCTATGTGAACCTTAGTGACTGTACTCCCTTATGATCAGATCCAGGGGGAAGTGGCAGGCTTGGCATTTCTTCTATAAAATGGCTACCATGGAGGAGTAGATGCAGAGCTCTCCTCTGTATCAGTTACATCTCTACTAATTTATTACCCAGTTGGGGGCATATTGACCTCAGCTCCAGTTACACCAGCCTCCTTTGCTTTCTGGTTGTCATCTGATAATTATACATGCTTAGGGGGTGCGAGGTGATGTTCTGTTAGATGTATTATAATTATATAATATAGAATGTAATGTGTACAGTGCGCAAAGATGGAGTATATAGTACAACATGGATCATGATCACATGACGGTAGTTATAGTATCTCTCACTTTAAGCATGTCTCACTGCCTGTGGAAGATACGTTGTTGTTAATCATAATCATTCTATGATCTGGTTGGGACTTTGTATCCTTTGGGGTCACTTCCCGTCTCCTGCTATCCCCACCTCCGGCAACCACTCTTCTACTCTCAACACCACAAGATAAACCTTTTCAGTTTCCGTGTGTGAGTAAAATCATGTAAGATTTGTCTTTTTGGGTGGGTCTCAGGACAGGGCGTCTCATGCCTGGATCCCAGACAACAGCCACCATGTGCACATGTTGAGCTGTCCCCGGGCCTGCCTGGGCTCCGGGGGCTGCTTCCCTCGGGGTGAGTACACCGAAGGGGGAGGTCTCCGTGACTGGGCAGGTCTGGGGCCCACCTGCTACCCTCATTGGGCAGCCAGCAGGTGGAGCCTGGCACCAAATGGCGCACTGGCCACCCGGCTGGGGAGCTCTGGGGTTTCGGTTCTTTGAATCGCTGCTTAGGTAGCTCCAGGTTGAACCCACTGTGCTTCTAGGACGTGAATCAATCGTATAAATTCCCAATGACAGTAACTCTTCCTTTGAAAAGTTGTAATCACTGAGCAATGCTGACCTTCAAAAACCAGACCATGCTAAAGCTATGGCTCGGACTTGTCCAGCAGAATCATATCCTGTTACCTGACATGATGATGGATCAGGAGACTGGTCACATTAGGCAGGGCCATGACATTATCTAGTACTCGAGAACTATAACTGGGGGTAGATTCTGTGAGGGTTGTGTGGACCAAATCCTGTGGAAATTCTAGCCCCACTGGTTACCTCAAGAGTTGGGGTGGTGATGGACTAAGCTGGGCGTGACCAAGGAGCCTGCCATCAATCACAGGTAAAGGAACCCCCAATAGTCTGGACTAGTCAGGGCAGCAGCACCCAAATGTGCGTCCTGAATAGGGTGTAGGGTGGGCCGGGCTGCAACGTTCACCAGCTCATACAAGGCCAAATGGAAGGCCAGACTTTGCCAGAACCTGGCCTAAACCCAATGGCATGTATGAGAACTGGGTCTGGGAATGGGTTAAGCGGAGGAACTTGGGAAACTCCCTTGGTGAGTCATAGCTCCCTCTGGTGAACATGTGGTCCAGACCTGGGGGTCGGACAAGCTGGGAAAAGTAGCTGCAACAGCTGGCTAATGTGTCAATTGGTAAAGGAACAGGGTGGACAGGGCAGAACTGAGCAAACCTTAGCCAACAAGCAAAACTAGAGACCAGGACAGAGCACAGGTCATGCCGAGCTAGGCTCTTGTACCTATTGGTCTGCATAAGCCAGGGACACCAAGCCACAGTGTCTAAGGCAGAGATCAGAACAGGTGAGGGGCTGTGCCAAGCTGAGTCAGAGCAACCAATGGCATGCATGTGATCTATGGCTGGGAACAGGCCCGGTTGGAGAGCTAAGGGGACAACCCTAGCTGGGTTGAGGTTCCCACCAAGGGGCGCGTGGGCTGGAATGGGCGCTGCGTTCTGATCAGTAAACAGTTGTAGTCTCCCTTGGCACAAGTGTGGACTGGGATTGGATGCACCGAGCCAGGCCAGACTCCAACACCCTCTGGTGTCCTGGAGAACCAGAGTAGATGTGGGATGGACTAGGCAAGGTCTCAACCCCTATTGAGCCATGTGTGAGCCATATGTGGGTATGGACGAGCCATGGCTGGGCCTTTCTATTAGATGAGAATAAATAAAGACATTCAAGTCTAAAGGCAAAAGACATAATTAGACATGGGTGTCCCTGGTAGTTAGTCTAACCCAGGGCACTTCTGCACAGCTCAGACAAGCCTTCACTCCCGTGCCCGGCTCTGGCCAGCCACTGTCCTAACTTAGCACATTTTCCCATTCAGCCTCTACTTCATTGCCATTGGTTCTGCCAAATTGGTACCTACGTGTTTTGTAAATCACTAGCCAAAGGTGTATTAATTGAAAGGTGCCCTCTTTGCATGGAACTGCTTGCACACCCTAAAGTAGTGTTTAGAACCCTACCCAGTCATATTGAGTATGGGTAAAGAGATGGTAATTATGAAATATTTGTCAATAAGCATTTCAATGCTGCAGCTTTAATGACTTTAGATCTCACTACGTGAAAATCAGGACAATGGGACCCTTTCTGAGGCATACCTTTACAGAGTTTAGTATGTCCTACATTTATAATACCTAGTTCTTAACGGCGACAGGGGTAGGTATTTGGCATGGCAGTGAAGACATTGCTTGGGATCCCGAATCCCTTATCAGAGTGTCTGATTCTCTCCCAATTGCAGCTTCCTGGGAGGCAGCAGTGATGGCTCGCATAGCTGGGTCGCTGCAGCCGTGTGAGAGGTTCCGATGGAGTTTGCACTTCCTGGCTTCAGCCTGACCTTGTTGCTGTCTCTGTCTCTGGCTTTCAAATAAAGAAAATCAGTGTAAAGCACGTGTAGGTCTCCAGAGATGACTTTGTTTGTGTGGACCTGGGGTGAGGTGGTTGACCTTCACTTTCTCTGTCTGCGATGGGTGTGATTTTCCTGGTAGGTGAAATTACAGGAAGAAGGCTGAAGTGGTTGCATTCCTCTTTGGTGAATTCAACCATCATATGGATAAGAGAACTGCAGGGTTAAACATTGGACATGTCTGCCTATTCACCAGGGCAATTTATTTATTTCTTTAAAGATTTATTTATTTTCATTGGAAAGGCAAATTTACAGGAAGATCTGCTATCTGCTGGTTCACTTTCCAAGTGGCCGCAACAGCCAGAGCTGGGCTGATCTGAAGCCAGGAGCTTCTTACTGGTCTTCCATGCAGATGCAGGGTCCCAAGGTTTTGGGTTATCATTCTCTGTCTTCATGAACCGTAAGCAAGAAGCTGGAAGTGGAGTGGGGCTGCTGGAATTAAAACTGGCACCTATATGGGATCCTGGCACATGCAAGGTGAGGACATGAGCCACCAGGCTGCCATGCCAGGCCCACGGACAATTGATTTAAAATAAACAGCATACCATGACACCTTGTTTGAGGGTGACAATACCTGGACCCCTTAAGCTGCATCTGGGAATAACTTCAAGTTAAAGTTCTTTTTCCAAGCTCCCATGATAGGTACCCATTAGAACCCTGCTTTTCATGGGCATATCTCTGTGTTGAAATATGTAATTCTGTACTCTAAGTGCTGTGTGAAAATCCATCATATATAGGTACCAAAATGTTTTTAACAAGTCATTCTCTCTTTTTTTAAACAAAGCAGAAAGGTACTTTATTCATGTATATAAATATTGTATACAGTAATCAAATCTTGCACATATATATTGCTTTTTTCTTTTTTTCTAAATTTTTATTTTTGAAATCTATCATACAATTTTGTATAGTTTGGGATTCCCCTCCCTCCTTCTTCCAGCCCTGATTGATTTTTCCCATAATGTCACAACTCTTCATAAGGAGTTACAATTCCATCAGTCTGCTATTCAAGTGTGCCCTGACATTGCTGGTACAGACACTGTCAGGCAGTCCATCATCCCGTTGTGTGGATATATCCAACACGTTTGTTGGGAGTTTATCTTTTGTTTGGAAGCAGAGATGCATGTTGCATTGTATCTTCACTTCTGGATATGGTAGTCTTCATTACTCCACCACTCTACATTCCAATTTGCACGATGGATTCCTTATGTTAGAGAGAACATATGGTATTTCTCTTTTTGTGATTCACTTATTTCACTGAGCATACTGCTCTCTAGTTAGGATCGTCTGGTTGCAAATTGTATAATTTCATTTTTTTAATGGCTGAATAATATTTCATGGAGTCAATGTACCACAGTTTCTTTGGCCACTCCTCTTTGGATGGACATCTGGGTTGTTTCCATGTCTTCGCTATTGTAGATTGTGCTGCTGTAAACAAGCCAGACTCTTGAACATTTATTTCAAATTTCTTTACTACTATAGTAGTCACATGAGTGTTCCTTTTCTGAAATAAAACAAAATAAGAATTTTATTTGAAAGACAGAGATGTTTTGGTCACTGGTTCCATTCCTAAATGGCCGCCACTGCCCAGGCCTGGCCAGGTGCCATCTGGGTTTCCTGTGTAGGTGTGAGAACTGGGATACCCATCACTTGCTGCCTCTCAGGAAGTGTGTCAGTAGGAAACTGGATTGGAAGTGGAGCAGCTGAAAGTGGAACTAGGCACTCAAATAAGGCACACAGACATCCCAGACATATCTGCCAGCACCCCTTGCCCTGCTCTGAATGTGTCTGCACTCACTTCTTAGACTGATAGAGGAGCAGTCTGTCATAGTAATCCGAGGGCACTGGCATTTCCCTTTCAGAAGGATTTAGGATAGTGTTCTCAGGGCCGGGGACTTGGGGCACAGTGTAAGACACATCAATGTATGCCTGTAAGTGAAAGAGTGGATGTGGATGCAGCGGTGATCCAGTGAGGAATCACCACCCCACTCCCGCTTTCTGCTTGGCAGGTGTAGGCTACCTTCTGCTGAACATAATGCTGCTCATGGTTTGGGGGCTGGGGAGTGTTTGTGTTTGGTCAAGTCCCACCTCCCTGCTTGGGACTACAAGCATTAATGCATGTGCCCCATCTCTTGGTCTCTTGCAGGCAGCCATGGTCCTGAGCTCTGCACACTTCTGGCTGGGATTGTTTCTGGTCCCCACTGCCTGTTTGATGGAAGATGTGGCATGGAGAGCGTAAGTGGAAGAATGAAGAAGCAACCACGAGTCTTACTTCTCTGTCCTTGTACTCGTCTTCCACATGACCCCTGCTGCAGAGGGCACTAGGGACATGGGTATTGTGAAGGAGCAGGCGTCCTTCCACCCACAGGAAAAGACTTCCATTGTTTTTATTTATTTTTTAAAGATTTATTTTTATTATTATTTTTTTTATTGGAAAGGCGGATATACAGAGAGGAGAGACAGAGAGGAAGATCTTCCGTCTGATGATTCACTCCCCAAGTGAGCGCAACAGCCAATACTATGCCTCTTCCGGGTCTCCCAAGCGGGTGCAGGGTCCCAAAGCTTTGGGCCATCCTCCACTGCTTTCCCGGGTCACAGGCAGGGAGCTGGAAGGGAAGCGGGGCTGCGGGGATTAGAACTAGTGCCCATGTGGGATCCTGTGCGTGCAAGGCGAGGGCCTTAACCACTGGGCCACCGCGCCGGGCCCTTCCATTGTTTTTATTTTAAACTTGCACTTTATCTTGATAGGGAAATGTGTGCAACACAGAGTTTGAGAAGAGTTGCTGGGACAGTCAAGAGGGAGGCACAGGCCCCTTCTACTGAGTTAGGCAAGCTTGACTGAAAACTCATTTCTGCTTCATACCTGATGCTCAGCGCTGCATCCATGGGCCTGCATTCAACCCTGTACATCCCAGTGAGTTGTCGATCTATAAGTCATGCCTCAGGGCAGGAGTAAAGTGTTCTTCGTTTTTCACAGCTGGAATTCCTCCAGTAAAAATCTTAGAACATTAATTTATAAGACTGAGAAAAATCAGCCACAAAGATGGAATTATAAATTAAATATGAAATACTACAATCTAATAAGACATCATACAGTATCATGTTTATAGGTGTTAGCTACTCAAATTTTTTTCCTATGTTTTAAACTATGCTTCCAAGATACTCTTGTAAAAAAAAAAAAAAACAGCATCTAAGAAACAGCCAAGGCACAAAATTTTCATTTCATCCCTAAGCAAAGGAATGGTGGCTCTAAATGAGATGATATGGATTTTTGCTTTGGATGAGCTTAATTCCTTCCACAAACAGTGTCCAACTTCCCTGAAAACTGAGGCCCTTCACTTGGCTTTATGCTTGCTGTAATTATTTCAGGGCCCTTGAGACTCGTAATCCACACCTTCCAGGAAAAGACATCAAGTTTCATTTTTATCTCTCCTTTCCTCCTACTCTCTGAGAATTATTCTTGCTTGACAGTTAAGGATGTCTTTTGAAAAAGTCTTCATTTTGGCATGATCTTGACAACCAATGATAGCTAATGCAGGACGAAGGAGGAAGGATTTTACAGTGCCTCTTAGTTCTCCTTCTGTTCCCTGAGTTTTTCAACTCTTAGTAAGAATTAATTGTAATTTCCTAATTGCTTTATCAGTGTGCCCATTTTGTGTGGTGAACCTGTGTTCTGTAAATGGTAGAAGGAGAATATTCAAGATAATAGCCAAAGGATGTATTGTTTAATCTAATTAGATGCACTGTAAGGAAACATTAGTTCTGTTTTTGCTGTCTTAAAGGCCAATATTCCATTTCTGAATTTGTTTGGTTTTGCAGAGGTAAGTTGGTTTTCGGCAAATAGAACATGGTCTTAGCTCATCAGAAGGGCTTTTTCCATTTATAGTGATTGAGAAGCGGTTACACGCTTATACATTAGTCTCAGAGTGTTTTGATTCAACTCTCTTAATGTCATGAAAAAAAACACATTTTATTGACACCATTTGCCAAGTAGTTTTTTTTTTGGTTTTTTTTTTTTTTTTTTTAGCAAAAGCCTCTTCTGTTTGAAAGCGAGCATTTGTAGATGACAGAGTCTCTCTGTGTCTCCTTGTCTGTTTTCTGGCTCTTTCCCAAGGTGTCCCAAGTACAAGGACCAGAGGCAAATCAGCTAGCCCCTCCACCAGGAATTGATTTCGCCCTGTTTTGTAGGAACTCGCACTGTAAAATTAGCACCATTTCCGTCTCCACTAGGATATGGCAAACAGCCCTGCTTCCAGCTCCACTACATGGAAAGAGACAAGGTCTCTTCCTTTGTGAGGCGCTGGCCAGCTGGGTTGAAATAGGGCTCCTACCAAGGAGGTAGCACTGAGTGTGGCTGGGAGCAGGTGAGTGATGGCAATTGTTGGCAGCTACCTACTGCTGGGTGCCACAGGGCCCATCCACAGCTTCGTCTGGGAGCCTTGCAGTATCTCAGCTCTGGACCGAGCAGGAAAGGCCACTCCTAAATTCTACAGGCACTTCCCAAAATGCATTTTTGTTTTGTCTCACTGAAGGAAGTAGGGCGAATAGCAGGTGTTGGTTATCACCTGGGTTCATTGCTGCCAGTGTATGCTCAATGTGTATTGCCTGTTTAAGGCATCGCCTGTAACGTTTCCTCTGGAACACCTCTTCTTCAAAGACATAATTTTTGTGACTTTAATTGGACATTTTCCCTCCGATTATTGTATTCATATTATGCTCCACGATTGAAATATTTGTTGCTAAGGCAAGTTCAGTTAGGAGGCTTATCTCGGAGCACTGCAGAAAGCTTATGGGGAAACGCATGTTTAGTATCTAAAATGCCTGCATTGCACAGTCGAGTGCCTAGATTTGAATCCTAGCTCCAGTTCCCAACTTTCCATCAGTGCAGAACCCGTTGAGTTCCTTCCTGTCACATGAGAAACCTAGATTGGGCTCCAAGCTCCTGGCGTTTTTCATTCATTTAAAAGGCAGAGCAATAGAGAAACAGAGAGAACTCTTCCATCCCCTGGTTCACTCTCCAGGTGCCTACAACAGTGTTGGCTTGGGCCAGGCCGAATGTAGGAGCTAAGAACCTGGTCTCCCACCTGAGCGACTAGAGGACCCAAACACTTGAACTCTCCTCTCTTCCCTGCTACATGCAGTACTGGGGAGCTGGAGTGACATCAGAATTGCTGAGACTTCAGCTGACACTCCCAAATGAGAGGCTGGTATCCCACACCACCACTGCACCGGCCGTGCCACAGTCCCCACCCCTCTGTGTGCTGTTTGACGTGCTCTCCGACGGTCGGCCACCCACCTCCTTTGAGACTTTGGTGCTGAGCTGTGATTCCTGTTTCAGAACTGCAGCCTTAGAATACATGTTCTGTTCTGTTCTTCCACGTGCTGAACAAACGTGTTGCCCCTGGTTACCCGCAACCGCCCATCTTCTGATTTCAGTTGTCAAACATCCATGGAGATGTGCAATACTAGGACGCACCTGGAACTCCCGAGAAGTGTTCTAAAAGAGTAAATAGGAATGAAGGTGCCTGATGGTGGCACCTGGCAGGGAAGCTTCTACATGTTGCAATTCCTTGCTTTTGCTTTGGGCCAAACTCAAGGGTTGGTTCTCAATTGCAGTACTTAGCTCTTTCTGGAAACAGTCTTTAAATTGCAGTACCATGCAGACTTGCCTTTTTCAAATATACTCCTGTAAGCACTTTTAAAAAAATAGGCGGCTGTGTCTTCCTGAGTTTTTCCTCTTTCTTTGCCCAATCTCTCACTTCCATTTCAAGACCTAGGCTGTGATGAACCAGAAGAGAGTGAGGTAATTCAATCACTTTTTCCGTGAAGTCTGTCATCTTTGTGGATGAAGATCTGTTAATAGAGCATACCAAGTTAGACCTGGAGTGCCTTGAAAGCGCTTGCGTAATTGTCCTCTTCGCCAGCATTTTCATGAGGCACCAAACTAACCTATCCTTTATTAAAACAATTGATTTATTATATGTGATACCTGGCTAACGAGTACTTTTATTAGAAGCATGATATTTCAATTATCCAGAACTATTTTAGTATTCTTCAGCTTACACTCTTCCAAAATGTTTTGCTCTGGCAGCAGAGTTAGGTCAGCTACCATGCACCGATTCTTATCTAGGAGAAGTTTGTTGGTGTTGTCTCATGAAAATACTGCAGAGCTCAAGGCTGCTGAGCACAGAAAGACTGGTTTCCTTTTATCTGACTGCATCTCCTGTCTTGTTCCAGGGATCACACAACACGATCCCCAATTCCAGAATGACTTCATTTCCTTATTCTAATCCCAAATAGGCAGTTAAGTGGAAAGGTAATAAGCAAATTCTATGTACAAATGGCCTTGATTTTTTTTTTTTATTAACCTAACTATGTTCACTGCTTTTGGAGCTCATTGTATTTGGGTTGACATCCACCTTCAACAATTAACATTTTCTTTTGACTCACTACTTTTCCACGCAAAAGAAAGATAGTTCAGGGGGAAAAATTGTATAAGTAATGTCAACTTCAAGATGCTAAGTCAGGGCCCAGAGTGATAGCCTAGTGGCTAAAGTCTTTGCCTTGCATGCCCTGGGATCCCATATAAGTGCTGTCACTCTGCCTTTCATGCAAATCTTCTTTAAAAAAAAAATAGAGTAGTTAATCCCATCCCCCGCCCCATGTTGCATTTTGCGATTCTTACGGAGTACTGATTTCTCTCGGAGGTTGCCTCAGTGCTCCGTCAGATTGCCTCGGCGTTGTTGGGCCCGGTTGGGGCTTCATCCGTGGCACCTGACTGGGGCAATGAGATGCTCAGACCACTGTCCCGAGGCCTTTTGTGAAAGAGAAATACAACTGGCATCTCCAGCATGGCAGTTCAGACCCTTTGTTTTCCTGATCTGAGCTGAAGATGCCAAGTTTTTGTCCCTGCCCACCAACCTAGTTTTTTTTTTTCTTTTTCTAATTTCTGGCCTCCTTTTCCGTGACCCAAAAGATAGTAGTGGGGGCTGCTGTAGACCTTGGGTGAGCGTATAGAAATGATGGGCGCTAGGGAAAAAGGGTGAAGTTAGGAGGGTCTTGAGAGAGTGAGAGAATCAGGCAGATACATCCTCCTGGGAGCTGTGCTGTGTGCAGGGCTACTGTGAGCAAACCACACAGTCAACTTGTTCTCCTTAGAACCCCAAAAGCTTATGCAGTCAAGGTCAAGTTTAAGACCAGCCATGTATAGTCATGTAGAACAGTCTGCATTCTAGCATTCTTCTAGAAAATTCTCTCATTTGCTGTTTAAATTAAATCTCTGCTTTGAACTACAGCATTTTATCAATAACGGGTCTCAGGACACTGAAGTAACGAAGGTGTTAAGTGTTAAACTCGGTGTGGTTTTCTCTCGTGTACTGTGTGGAAATGGATGATAGGCACGGAGGCAGTACCTGGTGCTAGTGCTCCATTACAGATTAAGTCGTCGTGTCCAGGGACAAGCAGGCTTTCTTTCCTCGAGAGCGGAGGGAACACATCTCCGCCAAGCTCTCTCCATCTGCAAAACATGCCCAAGGCACTGTTGTTACTTCCAAGCAGAAATGCTCAATTTTGTTCTTTTGTGTGTGTGTGTGTGTGTGTGTGTGTGTTTAGCCTTGTTTAAATTTTGAAATTTATTTGAAAAACAGAGTTCTTGTATCCACTGATTCACTCCTCAGATGCCCACACATAGTCGGGCTGGTTCAGGCCCAAGGGAGGACCCAGCACTAAATCCAGGTCTCCATTTTGGATGGCAGGGACCCCAGCATTGCTTGGGCATCACCTGCTGCCTCCAATCCTGCAGGAAGCTGGATTGGAAACAGAGGCATGACTTAGAATCAGGAGCTTCTGTATGGGACACAGGCATTCCAAACAGTGTCTTCCCTTCCATACCAAATGCTTTGAGCCCTGCTCCCTAGCAGGTTCTGGACATGCATTTATTTTGAAATGAAACTAATACACAGTTTTTCAGAACAGGGAAACCTGCTTTCTGTGGCTAACTCATGAGCCTTTTCTTTTCTTCCATTTCTCTTATGTGACCTGTATTTTTGAATACCTTTTCTTTGCCTATATTGTCTCCAACCCAGTAACTCCGTTTTAGCGTTGCCTGTTCTCAATCTGTTAAAATAAAACAAACAACAATCTGATCCATTAAATGTTATTTAATGAGGAACAAGAAGGTAGTACAAGTTAAAATAAATTCAGAGTCAAATACTATATACTACATTGTTTTACTATTTGGAAGGAGTAGCTTTTAAAGATTTTTTTCTGGTTTCAGGATTCCTTCCATTTTCTTTTTAAATGACACATAACTATTCAGGTGTATGGGGTATATTGTGTTAATTCACTACAATGTGTAATTTTTCAGTTTCAGTGTTAGAAAGTCCCTTGGTTGAAGCAAAATGATTTCCTTTGCATTCTCCTATGCTTACAAGAGCAGCGACACACGCAAACTGAGGTTCACACTGAGCTAAGAAAGGCAGTTTGCTCTTGCTAGTTGATAGCTGTATCGTGCTGTATCGTGCTGCTGAGGTTTGCCGCCATGGGCCTTTGTGGTAAGTGGTTATCAGTGGAAGCTGTTCTCGAATAGTTTCTTGACTCCAAATCAAGGGTCTGGCATCTAGAACTTGCTCCGTCCCTGTTGTGGCCGTAGCTGTTCGCACGCTGAAGAGTAGGGGAAAGGCCGCGCTAACCCAGGAGCTCAGTGACTACTGTCAGAGTCTGGGTCTGCTCTGCAGCACCTGGAGTGTTTTTAAGCCGCACACATGGAGCCGTGTGGTGTAGGGAGATTGCAAATGTGTTTCCACTTTTTCAACCTTGACCATAGTACATCCGGGTGTGGCATGAGGGAGGAGCAGGTGATCTTTGCAGCCATGTCAAGTTCACATACTATGTCCTGTTTGTCTTTATCCTCCTTACACAGAGCCAAGCACACTTGCAAAAAGACGCTGCTGGAAGAAGTACAGGAGCTGGAAACCAAGTCCAGGATGATGGGGAAAGAGATGCTGCAGGACAGCAATGGAAAGAGGTGGGCAGCTCTGTGTGGGGATTTCAAGAGCCGGAGGCTCTGGGCTTTTCTCCCCACCTTTCCTTCTCCTGCCCCTGTTTCTCTTCTTGGTTTCACAGTGAGAGCACGGCTGCTCGAGCTGAGGCCTTTGGATTGTTCTCTAAGTATGTCATCCAAGTTGGGTTAGGTTGCTCTCTCTCTCAGTGGTCACATGAAATCTGACTTTGTACGTCACTGGGACCCATCCTTGGGCATGTCTAGAGTTTATACTGGAGCTGCTCGCGGACAGAACAACCCATGGATCAAGCAGGGATACACATGCATGTTGCATCAGTGTTAATTTGAAGTGGAAGGACAGCAAGATTTAGCAGTGTGAGCAGAGAGGATGTGGAAAGCCAAGCCTTGGGATTTCAGGATCAATGACTGGCAGTACTCAAAGAGGAGTGGCTACCAGGAGGGTTTGCATGGCTAGTAACGCACGGAGAGCCGCCCCTGTAAACCTTGTTACAGCGCATTAGGGCATATGTGGAGGAGACACGTTTATAGTGGTCATGGCTTTGCCCCGGATCGGGATGCCATGTGTGAACTCTTGACACAAATGTAGTTTCTGGGTGTCGTTTCTCACAGAGCAGCAACCCACTTTTCCCCATGGACGTAGTTGGACATGGGATCCCGTTTGCTTTATTGAGTATGTGCAAACAACATTGAAGTGCCTTTGGTTAACGTCAACGTGCGACCAGAATACCCTGTATCTGTAACACTTGGGACCAGAAATAATTTGAATTTTAGATTTTTATGACTTTTGGATCATGCACGTAGGTGTAGTGAGAAATCCTGGCCACTGGAGCCAAACTTTCAACTTGAAAGTCAGTTATTTTTCCTACACTCTTTATACATACAGGCTAAAGACGTAGGATTTTTCCTCAAGGCGTTGATACTTGGACGGTTTTAGGTGCTCAGATTAGGGATGTGTGACCTGAGCTGCTGAAGGCAACTTCCCTGGGCCCAAGAGGACTTGGAGAATAATAGGAAATCCTGACTGTCTGAGGATTGTGAGGTTTCCAGACGGTTCTGAATGCAGCTCTCTCCTTCCTGTTAGCACTTAACCAAAGTCTAGAACCAACTGCTAATGAAATAAAAATCTAGGAGATGGATACTTCTAGATAATCGCACTTCATGGTTGTTCATTTCTGTTTCATTTGTTCCTTTTAAAGCAGTGAGGGTTTTAGGAGTGTAATTAATTCCCAGTAACCACAGACCTTTTGGGAAAAGGGTTTTTGCAGTATGCAGTTGGTGTGGTTTTTGTTTGTTTCCATGACTTACTGTTACTAAGTGAGTTCATGGCATTGTCATTTGGGGTGAGAAGGTAAGCCACACTTTGTGACAGCCACATCCCACATTTGGGTGCCGGGTTTGACTCTGCTCCCGATGCCAGCAGTGCATTAAGCATAGCAGCCGTGCTGCCAACTCTAAGATCGTCGGTTGAAAACTCACTGTGTTCAGTCAACTTAGAATTGTGCGCACGAGAATCAGGGCTGCAGCAGGTCTGTGCGTAACTGCTGTACCACGCAGAGCCAGCTCCACGTGCAGACCAGCAAAGCACAGCGCTCATCACGCCCCAGATCCTACCGCCGGAGATTTTCAGGATGCTCTGGTGTCCTCTGAGACCTAAACAAAGCAGATCCATAGGATCCAGAAACTCTGCGTGCGTGTGTGTGTGTGTGTGTGTGTGTGTGTGTGTGTGTGCGTGTGCATGTGTGTGCAAGCCTGCAAAAGGGAGTTAGTAAATACTGACAGCTCTGTCAACTGGTGGTCTTCATAAACGCAGTAAGTTTCAGCATCGTTGGCGACATCTTACAGGCTGTCTTGTATTTCAGAGATTCTGCAGACTTGACAGTGGCTACCGAGCAAGTGTAAGTGATTAATAAGTCGAAAGCGAATTTTAACACTAAGTTCTAAGCCCTCTCCCACCATCCTCCTCCCCACCCCCCCCACCCCCCACTTCACACATTTAACAGGAAAGCAGGCCATGGAATCAGAAAACCCTGATGGCCATGTTGCTCCCGTGTGGGTCAAAGTCGCCTTCTGGCCCCCCTGGCTGGAGCTGTCAAGATGGGAGGGACCCCAGGGGTTTGAGCTGGGAAGGGTGCCAGCAGACAGCAGCGAGGAGGCTGTGTTTCAAGTGTATGAACAAATATGCTGCGTCTAGCTACCTGCAGGCGGCTGACCCCGTCAGTCTTGGAGACTTTTCTTCCAGTCATCCAGAGCCTGCGTTTGAATTCTGCCTGAGTCACTGAGCCACGTGACCATGCGCAACATAGCCCTGTGTGAGGGGGCCTGTTCCTCTGTGGGAGAGGAAAGCTAATCTACTGGTGCGGGGTTGGAGCTTAGGAAAACAATGCATACAACACAGTTTCCAGCCTAAGCCCTGATGGGAACGCAGAGTGTCAGCTGCTGGTCTGCAGAGTGGCCAAGAATCGTGGCAGGGAAAAGGGGTTGTAGCCTGTTACCCTGAAAGGGAGCATGCGCCCCTGTCTTTTTGCTTAATGAAAAAAGGGACATAACTTTTAAAACCTGCTTATCCTCTTCAGATTGACTGTGAAATGTTCCAGTGGGCAGTAGAAGATAGTCTCATTGTGGCTGCATAAGATCAGAAACCTCTGCAAGTTTGCAGCTTTCATCGTGTAGTTATGTCATTGTGCATACCAGAACATGTGTGTGTTTATGTAGATACACACGTGGTAGGGTGCACTCACAGACATGTATCTGAATGTTGTGCTCATGTGTGCTCACGCATGTGTGTGTACACACGCCCACGTTCCCTTGCTTGATTATCCAATTCTGCCCTTCTCAACTCCACCCTGTGCTGCTATTCTAGGGGATTGTTCCCAGAAGACTGTGTGGGGACTCCAGGACACCCCACCCCCATTTGTTTTTCTCAGTGCTCCTTGCTGGGGCTTCCCTGGGTGGCCCATTTGCAACCTCGATAAAGGACAGGAGCTGCTCGCGGCAGGGGCGGTTTGTCCTGTCTGACCTCCCCAGAGCTGCTTCTCAATCCTTCCATTCTCACCTCCGGTGTGCTTGCGTCACACCTGCTCTGATGCCTGGGTCCAGGGGCAGAGACTTCTCTAGGAGATCTGAGGGCCTCTATCTGAGTGTTTTGGTCTCTTCTCATACCTCCCCACTGCTTCGGCCCCAGCTCCCATTCGGTATTTCAGTCTCCTCTCCATCAGTTCGGTGGCACAGGCGGAAGAAGCACTCTCACTGCTTGTTGATTAACCAGCTGGGAATGTAGACGCAAGGTTTAGGGGGCTACCAGGAAAGAAAGGTGGAGCAGGTACCTGCCACTTGCTGGCAGTGGCCACTGAGAGACACTGGTGGTCATGTGGCCTCCAAGTTACCTCCTGGCTTAATATTCAAGCCAGCAGTGGGTCACAGCTGGTGGGCTTTGTGTCAGCATCATCCTGCCCGGGCAGAGGTGTTTAGTCTGGGAGCTGGTGCTGCCTTGCTGGACCAGTCAAGCTCCCTCCCCCACAGCGTGCCAGCAGGCTGTTCCCCAGCACCCTAACCCCAGGTGAGTGACTCTGCTTGGTTCTGACAACATTCATTCAAGGACATTCTGCCAAGTGGCAGACATTGTAGCAGTTTTACTTCAGAATGTGCTTACAGGAAATGGAACAAAAAAAAATCCTTATGCATTAATCCTAACAATAGCAAAAAAAACTTTTGTGGCAAATTTACAATTACAGTATAGAAATGGTGACTAGGGACTCAAAGGTTTCGACTCTACCTTTTATTCGTTTGATGAAACTTGGCTAAGTCCCAAACATGTACAGTATTTTGGTAACTTGTTGAATTCTCATCATCATGTGTCTGTACTTTGTCATTAGTAAGTCTGGTCTTCCTAAATTAACTGCAGAATTTTTATACACCAACAAGTCTCAGATAAGAGATGCTGGTAACGAGAAAGGGTGACATCCTGAAGATGCAGCGAAGGCAGGAAAGTGCCCTATGTAGCCAAGACAAAGATTTGTCCTGGTTTTAATTTTGTCCTCCTTGAGAGAACATTTTTTGAGACTTTTGTTAAAACTTGGGTTGGCCAAAATCCCTTTCCACAAACTATCTCCCCTGGAAATCCTCCCCAAGAGGGGCAAGGGAGGCAGGCTACTGTGTCCGGAAGGGACTGCCCTGTGCATGGCTAAATTTCCAAATGTCTGAAAAATTAGGAGCCAGGTAGACTTGCTTTGATCAGTGTGTAGGTTTTTCCCCGTCTTTATTCTTACAGTGGAACTCGTGCAATGTTTTCCTCTAATGGATTAAAATCCACTTACAGAAGTACACGAAACTCCTCCACCATCACCTCAGTGACTGTTGGGATCCGGTTTTGTCAATTTCCCATGAACGACAAAGAGCCTTACTGATAATGCAAAAGCCAGCAGTTTATTGTGCCAGCATGCTGGGGCAGACCGATCTTGGGGCTCTCAGGCCAGCCAAGGAGGGGTCGGACCCTGAACTAGCAAAAGGCTAGAGATTATATAGGCCCCTTCAGTCGTTACATGCATCTTAGCCCGCGCAAATTCAAACACAGCAAGCAGACGCATCATCTTTAGGGCTTCAAGGTGCAAACAGTCCACTTTGTTCCCAGACACATTGTCTTTAAGGCCCCTGGGTCTAGGCAGCTCATTCCGTTCCCACACACATTCCTGTTCCAGGGACCGGATGATTGTACCACTGTCCTCCTGCACCTGGGTGCATTCTATAGATAAGGCTTGTGACACTGTTCACAAGGTCACAGAGGAACATTTATCGCTAAAGTGGAGTTTTCCCATGGTCCAGACGCATCCTGACCTAGCAAAGCTTCTTGGCACGAAAGTGCCTAACATTGCCTAACGCTGACATTCTAACATGCTAACATTATACTAGCACCCTCACGTGACACTTTCCCTTCATTTTTTTTCCTGATTGTAGAGTGAGGGCTTTTCTGCCATGGTTTTTTTTTTTCCTGCCATGTTTTAGGCATG